GAACTTATCTTTGGATTTTCACAGTTTTATCTTGACATTTCTCTGACAATATTCTTGAACATGAAATCCGAGGCAGTGATTGGTCCATGTCGGGTTTTTTTTTTCTAACGACGTCATCCAGGATCAGCTTTGCGGCACAGCCAGGTGTCGCAAATCAGCTCTAAGACTGACACTTAAGAATCACTCCTACACTTTACTTAAAGTAAGACTGAGACCCTTGATAACTCACTTTTACTCTCAGCTTTAAACTAAGAATTTTTTACACTTAAGTCCACTCTTAGCAGCATTCTTAAGAGTAATTCTAAGAAGTTTTGAATCAGTTTATTTTCAATCCAGTGAAAGCAAGAATGTTAACTAATAAATTGGAAAATAATCTGGCTATTTAGTGATATTTCCACAGTTGTGGTCTTGACTGGTCTTGAAATAAAATTCTGAGTCCTCAATGTTCGAGACCGAGACAAGACCAAGTACAAATGCTGTCGAATCCGAGACAAGACCAAGACTTTCATAAAGTGGTCTTGAGACTGGTCTTAAGACCAAGACCAGTTTCAAGTACCACAACACCAGAATACTGCTGGCCAGTTCACTTACTCATCAAACTCACTTGCAGCTTGCTGTTTTTTGCTCTGAACAGGAGTCACACATTGTTATGCTGGTCCTATGGGTTGGAGGGGGTATCAATATTAAAAGAAAGAAAATCAATATATCATTTAAAAAAAATCAATATATATATTGATATTTYGAGTTTTATGCACAGCCCTACTGAGAAGTAATTAGTGTTACAAGCTCAACAGACTTGTGAGGGAGGGGTGCTCTGTGGGGCGGGGGGCTCAGTTGAGGACTGAGCTTCAGGGAGGAGCTTTGTACAAATAGGCGGTGCTTTGTATGAGCAAGTCATTTTGGACAGCTCCACATGGCTACCTCAAGATGTTCAAGGTTTCTCAATTACACATAAAAATCATGAAATATTTAAAGCAATCATTTATCCAAATCACAAAAGCTTTTCACAACTTACCAAATCAAACAAATGRATAATTTTGACTGATTGATAGATTTATCCTCAAAGAGGAGGTACAGCAGATTTTAATCAAAAAGCATACATTATTGTTTAAAATGTATTTATTCTGAGTTTAAATGCGACCTATTTGCTCTTATTTTATTTATTTTTTTAGTTAGGTACAATGTAAAACCTAAATTCTGCATTGTAGCAGTGTTTTCTGAGCATAAATTACAAGCAGGGAAAACATTGCCTTTAATGTTTCATTTGACAATCGCACAGATTTTACAATCTGTTTTCTTTGGAGAAAGATGGGGTAAGATGAGACTATTTCAACAGTAATAAGTGGTGTGATAGACAGAAATTAGATATGATGTTTTAACACGATGCAATCATTTAAGTGTTTCCACTCTTTTATTGAACAAGTGAAATTTTATCTCAGCATCCAAGACACCAGCATATAAAGATACTTTATCCCAATTGAGAAATCTGAAATTCTATATGGACATATTTTTCTAACACACACACACACACACACACACACACACACACACACACACACACACNGCCCTACAACTACTCTGACCACCAGGGGGGCACCAACGCCCCCTCCTACTACAGCCACGCAGGGGCCAGCCAAGGCTCCAGCCTGTTCTCCACTTACAGCTACATGAGCAGTCCCACCCACAGGTCCATGTACACCCCCACAGCCGACAGCCCGGGGGGGCCTCCCATCCCACAGAACAGCCCCCAACACTGGGAGCAGGCTCCAGTTTACACCCAACTCACCCGGCCCTGAGCAGACTGAGACACACACACACACGCACACACACACACACACACACACACAAACACACACACACACACACACACACAGTATTTTTGTATTTGAATAAAAGCAGCTATAGGAAGATGTCATCAAACTGCCTCTTAGTTTCCTTCCTTCGTGGAGTAAACATCAGCGCCCTCTGGTGGTGAAACAAAACCATTATTCTTGATTTATTCTGGAAGTACTAATTTATTTTTTTTACTAACCTGCAATTCATTGTTTATTAATAACACATTATAATATAACAGAAACACATTTGCGCAAGAGTAAATACTAAGTAAGTTTGTTTTTTGTATTTATTGCATCAAAATGATTTAGTTGCATTTGAAAATCACCCTCAGATTTCTTTACTGTTTTCTTGAAACTCACAAAATTTTAATTTCTAAAATAGATGAATATTTAATTAAAAAAATAACCCTTTTTTTCATGTTGGTTTTGGGTTTAGTTTGATTGAGGAAGCCTTCTGTTCAAATGTGATCATTTATTAGGAAGATTATTTAATCATAAATGAAAATATAACTATACTTTTCTGTTATTTGTACTTTGTTTAACTCATTCATTGTCACAAAATATATTTTGTTAGAGTAATTCACACATGCCCTTAAAGCTAAGAAGAAATTAAGAATGTACGGCAAGTTATTGTCCATATTTCTTCTTTCTTTTTTATACATACATACTGTATATACCCATTAGTATTTTGCCTTAATTTATGAAAATATAACTTAAACATTTTGCAAATTTGAAAAAAAAAATCAAACAAACAAAACAAAACAAAGCAATTTTTGGTAAATTTTATTGATTGAAATTAAATATTGAGTGTAACAGTCATTGCTACGTGTTTGAATTTCAGCTAATCAAGAAGAAAGTAAAGAAGCTAAAACGTTGTTATATCAAGTCAGTTTTATAAGATTTCTTTTACTAGCAATCATTGCGTGACCAACTGCCGTTTTGGTTTATTTTGCTTTGGACTTTCAGACCTAACTAATTAGATTCTGCATTATTGATATACAGTGAACGAGTCCTGTCAGTCAAATCGCTGTGCTGCGTTGGGCAAATGTGACATTCGATAGGGAGGTTGAAGGCTGTCATGCCTCGTGGCCAAAACGGAGGGGAAAGAACAGGGAGGAGTTGGACGGGTCTAGCAAAGATCCAATTACAACACGGCAGCGTTCCTAAAAAACTCCAGGCGGCGAGGGACAGGCCAAGATCCTGGATGTTCCTTGAGCAAACAACTGGAGGGCAGAGGTTGTGGCCAAGCTGCTCGGTGGGTTCAGCTGGACTCAGTGGACCGCTGTGCTGACTGAAAGCAGACGGCCCAACAAGGAGCCTATTGATGTGACTGGCAGAGATGATGACAGAGAAGAAGACAGACGGCCTGACGAGTTGCAGGAGGCAAACGATGTGACTTTCCATCCTGCCACTAGTCTCATTCAGAAGCTGTTTAACATACAGTGAGTAAATTTTTGTATTTTGATTTAAGTTCTCATTTTCAGTACCTTACAGTTATGTAGTAACTTAATTTTTAGATGTCAAGCCATAAAAGTCTGTTATGGTATCTTTCCTTCTGCTGTTTGCTTCTAAGGTCATCTGCTGTCTTTATTACCTGGAAGTCACTGACGGATTTATCTCTGGTTTTAGGCAGGGCTTGCTTTTAAGTCCAGGCGGTCCACGGATTCTCAGGAGAGTGGTTTGCGGTGCTGGACTGGCTGGCAGGGATGGAAAACGAGGACCTGCAGCCCACTGATGGAGAGGGCAGAGAGAATGCTGAACTTCTGAAGGACCAGCTCAACAGTGAGGAAAAAGGAGAGAGGGAGAACAAAGGAAAAGAGAAAGAGAAGAGGAAAGAGCAGCGACGTCCGGGGTCCCTGTGGAGGTCTGGGTGGGCTCTGAGCGAACGGCTGGCCATCAACGTTTCGGGAATGAGGTATGAGACTCAGCTGCGAACCTTAGCCCAGTTCCCCAACTCTCTGCTCGGTGATCCCAGGAGGAGAGCGCGATACTTCGACCCGCTTCGGAACGAGCTGTTCCTGGACCGCAACCGAGCTTGCTTCGATGCCATCCTGTACTTCTACCAGTCGGGCGGGAGGCTCCGCAGGCCCGCAAACATCCCCCTGGACATCTTTATGGACGAGCTGATGTTTTACGAGCTCGGAGAGGACATCGTGAATCGCTTCAAGGAGGACGAGGGGTTTCCGAAAGAGGAGGAGAGGCCCCTGCCGTCCAATGAGATCCAGAAAAAGCTCTGGATGCTGTTTGAACACCCCGAATCATCGTCAGGGGCACGGATCATTGCCATCATCAGCGTGATGGTGATCGTGGTGTCCATTCTCATCTTCTGCCTGGAGACACTCCCTGACTTCAAGAAAGAGGTTGGAAGTATAACAATTAACACACTTTTTGACCTGATACAGGTTCTGCAAAATGTTTTTTCTTCAGCCATTCACACCCATTTAAACTTCTTACCCAGTCACACTTATTAGATTATCCACCCCATTCTAAGCATGCAAGGTGATGGGTGATGGTAGAGAGAGAGAGAAAAAAAACTGTAAAATGAAAACATTTCAACAGAACCAGGCTCAGGATGAGCAGCCATCTGCTTCAACCAGCTGGAGGTTGAAAGAACAGGAACAGGAATGAGACACAATCAAGCACAAAAATAGTGTGCTTACCTGAGTGGCTCAAATGAGGGCAACTAAACTTTGTCTCTTGAAGAGATCTGTTGTCATCTTTTGAACGACTTACAACTTAGGGCTTTCATGTCCTTGACATCTACACAAAAAAGTGGGCTACAGTGATGAAATTATGTATACTTACATCACAAAGAAAACAAGTCATATAGTACTCCTCACCATTCATTTTAAACCAGTCTYAAACAATTAAACAAGTAAGCATTTTCTTGTTCTTTACAACTTTGTTCAATGCTAGTTGGGGGCAGCTTAGAAAAAAAATCCATATGCCAGGTCCAACTTTGAACGTTAATAAAAACATCATTTTTTAAATATTTTGTCTATGATGACAGTAGTTACTTTAATGCCTAAGCCTTATAAATTTAAACACCCAATTGTGGCATATTTAATAAAATCCACATCAAATCAGCAGGTTATAGGTTTTTACATGACATGCATGAGTATTGGGGTCAAAAAGAAATATGAGACCATGAGAAGCAGGTGTTTAGGTAAGCATTTACTTGGAGAGAGTACTACAGTGTGTTCAGAGGAAAAATACTGGCATGAGAATTTGTTGGCCGATGTTCCTGGAAGCAGACCAGAGAAAGACTGCAGGAAGCTCTGGGTGTGATTATTTTAGCCGGCTGTTAAATTTGATATGAATTCAGGAAGGGTACGGGGACATTTGAGAATTAGAATACAAATGGCTGAGCGGAGAGACAGAATGGAGGAGATGGTTAGGCATGTTAACGAAAGGTCACAAGTGATCATACACATGGACAGAGGTGAGCCAGTTCCCACTGGTGGCTTTAAACGAGGAAACCTAAAAAGGTCTCACCGGATGAGTAGCATACGCTCAGTTGTGTCCACACATTCCTCCAGGACTCCTGCACCAGGTTAGACTGGCTTTGCTGCCAGGAAACTACTGTAACTTACTCCGGTTGGAGCCTGAGCGGCCACACAAATTGCACTGGCACTGTTACACACCGGGGCCGCAGCGGCCAGAGAGGGAATAGTGACAAAGGTGGAGACGAACGAGGAGCGACGCATGAGACACTCATGTTTCTCTTCGGAGTTCTCAACCGGTTATATTTAGTCTAAGGAGAGCCCTTGGAACTCATAAACACATACTGTACATGTCCTCCTTTAGTAATAAACACTGTCACTGACCTGCTACTGAAAGTCATGAGCAACAGTCCATGTCAACTACTCCGAAACTTCATATAAAACACACAATCGACAAAACATCATTCTACATTCGCGTCATCTTTTTGCCGTGGATTTGACTGGACGGTGAGTGAGACTCGTTTTATAACATCCACCATCCAGAGTGTGAATATGACGGTAACTGGCAGGCCAGATGGAACAACAGGTGGGYCAAGAGGAGATCAGAAAGGCTGCACGTGTGAAATGCTTTTGTGATCCTGCCAGAAGCGAGAACCGGCGAGAGACAGCGTGACAAAAGCAGCCTGAAGTTCACTCTTTCTTATTAAAATAGCACCAACCTCAGAGGTTTTATTTTGGAAACAGATGTGCATTTGAAAGGGAAGTTTCAGTTTTCTGCAGTAGCCCAGAGGAGATGTGTTTAGCCTAAATATGTAACTGAAACCATGTAACCAGTTAGCAGCCTAGCTTAGCATAAATTCTGAGATTACAGGGAACTAGCGCTGTTTACTTCACATTATTTTATTTGTCTTTGTTAAGTCAAGGGTTGATGCTGTTTTATTCAATATTGTTTGAAGGATCAAGGTTATTTTTGAAATAGTTTTTTGATTTTTGTATGAAAGCCTAAAGAAGACATTGTTACAAAATAATTTTTATAATGTCTCAAGGTGACTATTTATCTCATCTTAAAAAAAATTAAGTGGTTACTTGTTCTACCAGAACATCAACATGTTTCAATAACCATCTATGATATTCCTTTTTATTTTAAGGTAAATAAATGTATTTTTATTGATATGTTCTTACAAATATAGCTTTTCTTTTTGTGCAGTGGAGATTGTTTCAGACTCTTCCTGTCTTTCCTGTCTGTTCCTCCTCAGGAGCACCATTCCCACGCTAAGAACGGTTCTGAGAACGTGCCTCCTCCTCCGAGTATTTTCTACGATCCCTTCTTCATGGTGGAGACCGTATGCATATGCTGGTTCTCCTTCGAGCTCATCATGCGCTTTGCTTGCTGTCCCAGCAAGATCCACTTCTTCAAGGACGTCATGAACATCATCGACTTCAGCGCCATCTTGCCGTATTTTGTCACCCTGGGAACCGAGCTGGCCAAAGACGACGACGCCTCTCCGGCCACGTCTTTGGCCATCATCAGGGTCATCAGACTGGTGAGGGTCTTCAGGATCTTCAAGTTGTCTCGGCACTCTAAGGGCCTCCAGATTCTTGGCCAGACGCTGAGGGCCAGCATGCGCGAGCTGGGCCTCCTGATCTTTTTCCTGTTCATCGGCGTCATCCTCTTCTCCAGCGCCGTCTACTTTGCTGAAGCTGACCACCACAAAACCGACTTCGTCAGCATACCGCACGGTTTCTGGTGGGCGGTCGTGACCATGACCACAGTGGGGTACGGTGACATGTACCCCGTCACAGTGTGGGGGAAAATGGTGGGCTCCATGTGCGCCATYGCTGGTGTTCTGACCATCTCACTGCCCGTGCCTGTCATAGTGTCCAACTTCAGCTACTTCTACCACCGGGAGACCGAGTGTGTGGATCAAACGGAGTATAATCACGTGCAGACGTCTCTGTGGGACGACATGGAGCCTGAGGGCGAGGAGACGGAGGACGGGGACCGGGATCCCGAGGCAGATTATTATGACTCCGAAGAAATCTGCAACYCTCTGAATGGGACGTTAATTAGAGGAGTTTGTTCTGGCCAGAGCACAGAGCACAGCGGAGGAAATGTGCATCTCATGGAGCCGCTGGTTACACAGGTTTAGAGAGCAGGAACATGTGCAGCCTTAAACAAAGACACAGAAAGTGAGTAATGTCATGTAGCACACTCAGAATAGCACTAATATACCTCCTAAAAACTTTATATTTCCTCATCTGGCTCATTTATTTATTTTTCACTGCAGTGGCCAGTTAAAACAGCATTTTTTCTTCCTTTTTTTTCCTCAGGGTCCTAAATGAAATATATCAGCTATTATTTATTAACGCTTTAAGCTTAAGGTAATATGAACACTTTAAAAAAGTCTGTGCCTTGAAACTATGATGTCTTAGTTGATTTTGCCTTACAGCCTGATGTGGAATTGAAGTAGATTTTTGATCCATCCCACCAGAACTCTACCAGCAGATCTGCATATTGAGAAAAAAAAATCTGAAAGCTCTCCTGAACCACCTCCACAGGTTGCAGGTTTTTAGAAGTTCTGGCTCCTCAGGTCACCTGCAAGACTGTAGTATTACTCAAACACTGCACTGTTTTCTTTGTGTATTTGTGATCTCTGCTCTGCTATGTTATATTCTGCTGAATTATGCGCTCRTTATTAAAAATAAAGACTCTATTTTATTAATTGTCTTTTAAAAAATGAGTTAGCAAGTCATTCTGTTTAGGGAACAGCCAAACGTAGAAGAAGAAAAACATTAAAATAATATAGTTTTTTTTTTTTTGCTTTCTTCATCTCTAAGTAACCTTGTTCCAGTCAATCTGTTTTACATTTGTGGTTTTGTGACTATTTCTTTTTCAAGATATCCATAATTATTATAGGCAGTAAGTTAGTTTGCTCTTTGTTTCACTTAAACACAGAAAACTTTCCACTCCATCACGATGATGACCCGTGGAAGGTATGCAGGCCAGTGGTTCACTGCTTGTTCTTTAATAATCTGCTTTAGTTTGTCAGCTAAAAATAATAATGGAAATTTTAACAGATTAAACGTTTTTTTTTCCTGTAAGATGAARCCCATATCTCTTCTTAGAAGAACAAATGATTTGTGCAGACAAATGTCTGTGACTTTCAACTTTACACCATGAATAAAAAGAAACTACATATCTGTGTGGTTTGATTAAAATCAATTAGCAAACTTGTGACCAGAAAGCTTAGAGTTTTATGCAAAGTTTCTTATTGTAGCCCAGCATTTTTTTAAATCTGCATTAAACAGCTTGAAAGTCTAAACTAGAAATACAGTATGTAACTTTGCACAATGTGATATTATTGGTGAAAAAAAATCTGTTTTAACAACTGAGAAAAAGGTTTGGAATTGACAAATATTAAGTCAAAGTCATAATACACATTCACTGAAACAATCCATTTTGATAACTTGAGTTGTTTTTTCTTTTGTTTTTATTCATTTTGTCCACTAGAGGGTGCTACTCATTTCACAGTCCTCACCTGTGAGCAGTGGGTAATCAAAAATGTTGGGATTCCTATTTGGTAATGTCTAATTACTGGTTTATCTAATTGCTCCATTTATCCATGACAAAACTGTATGAGTCATAGAAAATAAATATTTGGACTGGGGATGATTTCATTCAGAATTTATTTTGATGTTTCAGAAAACACGCTTTAAGTGCATAAACAGACTTTGGGACTTTCCAGGAACATTTAGTTTACAATGTATTACAGTTTGTTCCACCCCGCTTGTTATTTCAACATTTCAGCTTTACAACTTATTCGTGGAACTGTTGCATTAAAATTAAACATTTAGTCAAAAAAACTTTAGGATTTAAAAAAATACAGTTAAACAAAACGAATTTTTATTGTTCAATAATTCAATAAAACATGGCGACAGTCGGTTTTYTTTATTTTCTGAAGTAACTAACAAAAAGACAAGTTAAATACTGTACAAATAAATATCTTCATTCAAAGTTACAGTCATTGGTTTTATTTAAAGCAAAAATGGATTCAGTTTAGTTATTTAATACATTTAAAAATAGACCTTTTAAATTAAACAGAAATAAATTAGCGAATCCAAACAACTCCTCAAAGGTTCAGTCAATTTTCTAAATCACCCAAACGAATTTACACAGTGATTTTCCACAACTGTAGAACATGTTATTAATAGTTCTAAACTTAACTTAGATGTCCTTCCTGTCATAATGTTTCTGTTGAAACAATGATTATTATTTTTAGTCAAAACTTCTAAAGATTCACTTATTAATGAGAGCAGACTGCAGCACCATCCAGTTCATTCGAAGAGAATAAAAAAGTCATTTAAATCAATTAACACAACTAAAATAAAAACTCTTTTAATAACCAATAAATAAGTAAAACACAGCACACAGCATAAATAAATAATTTAAATCAATACACAAAAGGTTTCATAAAAAACGTGCTGAGAACCAACAAAACAAACCTCAAGTTTCTGGGTAAAAAAGACATTTCTGTGCAAAGCAGTACTTTACTTCTCCAGTACTAACTGAGGACTAACCACTGAGTTTAGCCCCATTCCAAAAGGGTCGTCTGAATCCATGTTGAAGTTCCTCTGGTTTTTCATTGGCTCTTCGGAGATGCTGTCCTCTAAAGTATTCCTGAGTGGTAAAAATCGGGTGAAAGGGACTGAGTTTTGACTTGGGGTCTGCCTGGGTGCCAGCGACACAGGGGTCCCAYGGTGTGAGCTGAGGAAGCGGGTGTATCCATCAGCCAGCAGCAGTTCTCTGAAGCAGCAGTCGGTCTCCTCATACACACTCTGAAAGTCCAAACAGTTGGAAGTTCATCAAAAAACAAAAAAAAGGATGCATTGAATAAAACTTCAAAGTGTTTTAATTGTTTTTCTGTACCTGTCCCCTGAGATGGCCTCCACTGTCCGCACAGAGAAACAAGGAGGATGACTGTCCCCTGATGACCACATGACCCGGTTTCACTGATTTCAGCTGCAGCACACCTGGAACCCACAGAAACTCCTTCAGTTTTCCAGGCCTCAAATCATCCATTCTGATTGGTTCAGGCTCAAACATCAAATACTCACTGTAAGCGTTCCGAGCATCACTTCCACTCACTCTCCCATCCTGGTTCATCTGTAGAAACATCCCACGTCTGTGGTTATCTGCAGGATAAATCAGTCAAAATAAATAAATAAAACACATTTACACAAGACAAACCTCTATGGCCTCATCAGTACTGTTTTATATTGATCACTAAATAAAATAACCAATACATATATTGAATTACCTGTGTAGAGATGCACCTCTCTGACATGGTTTTTAAATGATAGGAGTGGATTGGATTCAGGAAGGTAAAATGAATGTGAAAAAGGAAGCGGGAGAATTAGAAAAACCAATAAATGGTGGAAAACAAGCTTATTCTGTAATGACATCATTTTGTTTAAGGACCAAAAGCTAAATAAATAAAGAATAAATATAAATAAATACTAATAAAATAAATAAATAAAGATAAAAATAATTGCAACCCTCGATGAGCGACTTGTGAACAAGAGGAAGTTTGGTGGCCTTATAAAGGATTTGAGGAGAAGGAGGTCCAACTTCCTGATGGTAAGAATGAGTCAGATGTTGGTGATTGAGTGCTCACAGGAACTCCTAAATGTTCACACTATGTTTGGAAGTAGCATAAAACAAGCTTTTTTAAAAAAGAAGAAAAAAATGAAGAATTGATTTAATTTTTAAACACTTCAATAAACTTCCACATATTTTCCAATCATAGAGCAGCATTTCTCCAGCATTCAAAATATTCCAACAATGAGCAGGTCACTGTTTCATTTCAAACAAAAATATTCCAACAATGAACAGGTCACTGTTTCATTTCAACCTACCACTTCAGAGAAGGTCTATAAAAAAATGACATCTAGCTATAAATATGCTCTGTCATGTGGGGACAAAACCATTTACCGTAACCTAGCGTGACTTCCCAAGCAGCCGTGCACTTGAAAAATAAACATCTTACAAAACTGAATGAAGATCTAACACACAATGTTTTTTTTCCGAAAGTGACGTGAACTGTTTTTTTTGTGTTTTATGTTGTTTATCTTATTAGGGATGTGAGTGTTTGAGAGAGAAAAGAAGAAGGAAGGAGTGGGAGAAGCTGATTTATAAGCTGAGGGTGTGTTTATAGGACTGCAGCTGTGCACTGAGCACAGACTATAAACTCACTGTTTAAAAAACGCTGCCCGGCATCTACCTAAAACACTATGAATGGAAAAAAAAAACCTTGATATTATGGTTACTTAAAACACTCCATGACCCTGAAAAGGAAGAAGCCAAACTATGTGTTGAAATGTCCCTTATGGAAGGTAAAGGGTCCAAATGAAGATGGCTGGAGTACTGTATATCCTGGCATTAAAAAAAATAACACAATAAACAAACAAATATCTCAAATCCAAACCAAAATGTAGTACAGGAGCATAAGGAACATTATGGCCGTAAGCAAAGAAAGCTTGAAGATTATTATCTGTGTTTTTTCAGTCAGTTTTGGTGATTTTTGGGTTTTAATGTGGGCTTAATTTCTATTTGGTTTAATTTCAGTGTTCTGTTCTTTTGATATTACCCTGTATACCACCTGTTTATTCACACAGTATTGTACCACAGTTAGTCTCTGTTCCTCAGTCCCTGCCACAGTTACATCTGTTCTCAGGTCCTCGGCTTCTTTCTTTCAGGGTCACAGGGGTCACCGGTGCCCTTATCCTGCAGTCAGTGTGCGAGGGGCAGATTCTAGAGTTACCACTTGACCTAAAATTCATGTTTTTAATCTGTGGGAGGAAGCCAAGGTATCCAGAGAAAACCCACACATGCACAGAGAGAACATTCAAACTCTATCCTTCTTGCTGAAAAGCAGCAGCTTTACCTCAGCTCACCTCCCAAATCAGTCTGGCACTAARTACGCTTCACATCACGTTTGTTTGTGTTTTTGTTTCTCCTTGCCTCTCCTCAGTTTTTATAAGTTTCGCTGCCACATCAGCCTTTTGTTTTTGTAACAACGAAATGAAGAAGTACAACCATAAGTTCAGTCTGTATATCGAGTTGTTCTCAGTTTTKTGTTTGCTGAGGTTGATTAGTTGTGGTGGCCATCTTTACTCTTCTAAAGTTATTCCGTTGTAACAAGCAGCTTTTTTAAAACTGCACATCCCTAATTCATTTTTTCTGCTGTTCCAAAAATGCAACATGACAAATTTTGTTATTGCAAACATCAAAATGTAAAGATCAGGTTTTTATATGTATTTTTTGTTGATTTGAAAGTTTTGCACAAGAGCTGAAAGAATTAGCAATTGTTTTCTACTTTACTTTTTAGGCTGTAGAATTATATGGAATAAATGTCAATTTGCCTTTGTTCAAAAACAATAACTTATTTAAATTTATGTGGTTCCACTTATCCCAAATAGCTAGAGGAAATTAAAACTCTATCCATCAAACAGCTCAGGACTCAGGGGGATAAGACTGTTTGGCCCACAGAAGGTGTGTGTGTGTGTGTGTGGGGGGGGGGGGGGGTGCTGCAGGGAAGCCAGCAAATTTATAGCAATGGCCATTGCCCCATGGCACCCCTGAGTGACAAACTCACCTAATCTCCTTCACGTTGAGCTAAAGAGCCACTTTCATTTCCTTCTTGTTTCTTTAAGTGGGCGTTTTTAACCTTCACCGTGGAGTTTCCTCTTCCCGTCGTGGTTCATGAGGCGCTCAAATCACATTTCAAACAGAACTTCAAACCACACCCTCCCTACAATGTTACAGGTATATGTTTTTTTTTAATTACAGCTTTTACAATCATTAGCATCATTATTGTTATCGTATTATATTCAAATATCATCACTACTCTCCAATAATATGAATTCAAAATCTGAGCACAATTATTTTTTTATCCCCCAAAATGTACACATACAGTTAGCATATCGTAAATGTTCATAAATGAAAACATTTGTCAAATGAAATTACAGTCAGTCTTTAAGCTAAGTATGAAATGAACATACGGTTTAATACACACATACACTGTACATACATACATACAATAGCAGTTATCATAAAAATGATAAAAATAAAATGCACACGTTTTACAAAGTCCTGACCCGAGCGTTCACATCTTTAGATGATTGATATCATGAAGTTCACTCTAGAATGGTTGATTTTTGGCATGCATATTAACACAAATGCTCCCTAACTATAATCCTTTCCCCCCCTCCCACTCAGTTTGGACAGGAGTTTATCATAAAGCACTTTGCCAGCTATTTTATCATTGGTCCTATTCACACTTGTGCATCCTCAGCTCTGTTATGGCTTAAGAACAAACATCTCTGTACTCTCTGAACTTCCATTACAGCCGACTGTCTCCTTTTGTTTCGGGATTTTTTTTTTTAAAATGAAATACTTCCCATTCTCTGTCTTAATCAGAGCTACATTGACTGAAAACGTTTGTAGAACTCTCTTGATCTGAACAGGAATGCATGTTTTCTTTGTTTTTGTTTTGTTTTTCCATTTTCAAAACTATGAATACAGTGTGTCGATATTGCCATCTCAAACTCAGAAACAGAAGATGAATTCACAACATGGTCACTTTCTACAGAATCGAACAGCGTCATGCCACAACTATGGATCGAGAGAGAGAGAGAGAGAGAGAGAGAGAGAGAGAGAGAGAGAGAGAGAGAGAGAGAAACTGATGCATTAACAGACATTCACTCTTTATTTTATCATCTTTTTCAGAAATCATTCACTCAGTGTCTTTGATTATTTTGGGACACGTGGCTTGAATGCTGTTGGTCGTCTTCTAGTGTCCATTTTTGCTTTTCTTCTTTAGTATTTTCTTTTCTTCAAATTTTTTTATTTTTTTTCCAGGATTGGGTAAAAGGGGAAGTTCTTGAAAAGAATAAAGACACAAATGCATTAAAATATATTTTATGTGGTGACTGATGAAGCAGTTTCTCAAGACTGAAAGTTTTCTTGTTTCTTACCCAATGTGCTTATCTTTAGCAGGAATATGTTCTCACAGAACCCGACTCTCCTCTCGGACCAGAGTTTGCTGAAAAAAGAGAAAAAATATGTTTGGTGGACATGGATCAAAGTAACACAACTTACTTAATGTATAATTTAACTTAATGACTCAGAGCAYGAAAAAATGGTTTTAAAAAGAATCAAGAGCAGATGTAAGCAGATTTCTACATATAATCTCAAAGATCAAATAACCCAGGAGCTTTTTTCATCCAGGCTGCAAYTTATAAATTAGAACTGTATTAATAAATTATTCGTACACGAATCAGAAGCAGCCCAGTTCAAAATGGCTCATGGAAAAGCGTTGCATTCACCAAAGAAAAAAATAATCAGACTCCTGATCTCGTAATTATGAGATCCAGATCTCAGTCTTATGAAAAAAGTTAAAGAGACTCATAGCTGACTTACACTACTACTTGATTTTATATGCTTTTCCTCTTTAGTACGAGACTCTGGGTCTACTTTAATTGTTTTTCTTTGGTGAATGCAATGACTTTCCATAGGTTACTACTCAATAAAAATTTTTAAATTTTTTTAGAGTGCTTTACATCAGAGATATGACAAGATGAAAACAGTCTTTGTTTTGCTTCTGATCTAGAGTGAGTCAAATATAACATGGAGTAGAATATGTCGAGAGCGGGCACCACTCTGCCTCCTTGAGAGAATACCATTTGTCCTACAAGTAAAACCAGAAACACAAAAACATTAAGACAAAATTCCCAACGTGTTGATATAGAATTTGTCTGTGTATCATAAAAATTGTTGTTTTATGAAGAAGTTGAAGAAGTTAAAGTCAGATGAGAGCTGAGCTCAATGAGGTTTTTTAGACGTAGTTTTTTGTGATTTACTTTACCACAGTAACTAAAAGTACTACCACACATCCCAAGGCTGAGTTGGTCGTTGATAACGTTTGTAGGGGTGTGTGTTGCCGTTGGGGCCACATTAATGTACGACTATAAAAAGATATAAATGAATCAAGTATAGAGATCCTTTTTTGAAGTGAATAATAGGTACCACCATTCAAATGAATAGAGGCAGAGCAATGCATTCTTCTGCTCTCCTATTCATTTGAATTGGAAAGCCCTAAAAAGAAAACAGGCAAAGTTTTCTGAAACATGATGGATGCACTGTCTACTTTGAAATGACCTGTTAACAGAGAAAAAATTTGAGACAAAATAAGACTTTCTGTCATTTAGCTTGGCTTGTGAACCCAGTATTGGCTAAATTTTCACTTAGCAACAAACAAGCATGTTTTTCTAATAATTTAATAAATAGTAAAAGGTCTGAACTTCTATAGCCTGTTTAAAACCAGCCCCTGCTTTGTACGAGGGTCTGGACTCTCGTCTATAGAGAAGCGATTCTTGCAGGAGGCGTGGCCTCTGTTGGAGTTTAAAACGATTGGATCTGTTGGCCGCGGCGCATGTGTGCCAGCTCCACTGTGAAGGACGCTAAGCTAAGAAGCTAACCGGAAATTGTAAATGATGCTACTGAGAGGAGGGAAGTACCGAGCCAAACAAGACGGCTTTAAATGACAGCTGCTGCTTTGTCAGACTAATTTAATTTAATTTGGAAGCCTTATCAACACGGACTGGCTTCATTCACTTCCTCCATTGCCACTGCTAACTAACTAGCAGACATTGTGCAGAAAATCAACATTGTTCAAAACTCCGCCTTCTGTTTGCTGATTGGCCCAGGTAAAATAAACTACAAACAGACACTGTGCAGAAAATCAACGCTGTCGTTCAAAACACCACCTTCTGTTCTCTGATTGGTCCGAAAGAAATTCTTCTGAAGAAATCCTTGTCTATGGAAGAAATCCCAGACGGAGCAGTGAAGGGAAACTAGAATTGAGTGGGACTGTGTAAGAAGGCGAGGGCCAGGCTAGAACTTATACAAGTGAAGAAATTTATAAGTCATGTTAGATACTGATTTTAAAAGCACTATACCATTTTCTTAGTTTTCCTTTTTAAGTATTGACTTTTATAATCTGTTGTTTGAATTATGTCTTGATTAAAATAGTTTAGATACATGCCTCAAGTCCTGTCTCAAGTGGAGGAGTTTAAGTATCTGGGGATCTTGTTCACGAATGGGGGTAGAAGGGAGCGGGAGGTCGACAGGCGGATTGGTGCTGTGTCTGCTGTAAAGCGGGCGCTGTACAGGTCCATCGTGGTGAAGAGAGAGCTGAGTCAGAAAGCGAAGCTCTCGATTTATCGGTCGATCTACGT